CGGACACCAGTTAACACTCCTGTTCCTTAGACATGGGTGGAGAGTCCTTCAGAATGTACGGGAAGGATTACAAGCCGTGTGCCTCTCCTCCAGGCTGAGCGGACCAGGCTCAGGGAGGTGAAGGTGCCTATATGCCCATGTGGAATAACGCACAGTATGTACAGCCATCACCTCAATCGAGTCGTTCTTATTATACTCCCGTGGAATCCCTTACCTCATCCCGACATTATCATCACCCCGAAAGGAAACCCCATACCCATTATTTCCCATTCCCCCTTCCCCTCTGCCTCTGGTAAGCACCAACCTGTGTTCTGTCTGTATGGACTTACCTATTTGGGATCTTCAATATAAATGAGATGATTCTGTATGTGACCTTTTGTGTCTTGCTCCTCTCAGCGAGCATAACCATCTCAGGTTTCGTCCACGTTGTAGCAGGTGTCAGTACCTGCCTTCTGTGGCCAAGTGATAGTTCGTGGAATGTACGTACTGCAATTTTGCTTATGTATTCATCTGTTGATGGACATTTGGGCTGTTTCTACCTTCTGGCTGTTATGAATGATGCTACTATGAACATGTGCACACAGGGACTTGTTTGAGTACTGGTCTTTAACTCTTTGGGGCATATACCTAGAAGTAGAAATATGGGGTCAGGTGATAAATCTGTGTTTACTTTTTTAAGGAAACTACATTTTTTAAATTAATTAATTAATTAATTTTTAAATGTTTTATTTATTTTTGAGAGAGAGAGAGAGGGCACACAAGCAAGGGAGGGGCCGAGAAAGAGGGGGACAGAGGATCCGAAGCAGGTTCCACACTGAGAGCAGTGAGCCTGATGCAGGGCTCCAGATCATGAGATCATGATCTGAGCCGAAGTCAGACGCTCAACCAACTGAGCCACCCAGACACCCACGTTTATTTATTTTTTTATTTAAAATGTTTTTGTTTTGGGGGCGCCTGGGTGGCTTAGTTGGTTGGGCGTCCGACTTCGGCTCAGGTCATGATCTCACGGTTCGTGGGTTCAAGCCCCACATCGGGCTCTGTGCTCACAGCTCAGAGCTTGGAGCCTGCTTTGGATTCTGTGTCTCCCTCTCTCTCTGCCTCTCCCCTGCTCACCCTCTGTCTCTCTCTCTCAAAAATAAACATTAAAAAGAAAGATGCATTGACTTTATATTAAAATGTTTTTGTTTTTGTTTTGAGAGAGAGAGAGCGTGCATGAACACATGAGCAGGGGAGGGGCAAGGGCAGGAGGAACAGAGGATCCAGAGCATTTCTTTTTTTTTTTTTTTTTTAATTTTTTTTCAACGTTTATTTATTTTTGGGACAGAGAGAGACAGAGCATGAACGGGGGAGGGGCAGAGAGAGAGGGAGACACAGAATCGGAAACAGGCTCCAGGCTCCGAGCCATCAGCCCAGAGCCCGACGCGGGGCTCGAACTCCCGGACCGCGAGATCGTGACCTGGCTGAAGTCGGACGCTTAACCGACTGCGCCACCCAGGCGCCCCAGCATTTCTTTTTTAAATAGCAACTTTACTCTGGAACTTTCCTGCATATGGAGAGATGGGAAATTGGGTGAGGAGTCGGGAGATCTGGGTTCTTTTCCTGGCTTTGCCCCTAACCAGCTGTGTGACCTTGAGCAAATCACTTCCCCTCGCTGGGCTCTTGTTTTCTCATTTGAAAAGTAAGGGGATTTCATAAAGCAAAATGATCTTAAAAGTCTCTTACTCTTTTAAGATTTTACTGGGAAAAAATGGGTTCCAGAGAGAAGAGGGAGAGAGAATTATCAAACAGCTACCAGATTATCTCCAAGAACTCTGTCTACCGTGTTTTAAAATTGTGAGTTAAAAGCACCCCAAATAATTGGGCTTTTTTTTTTTCCTGCCAGTGTGTTTCTAGTTAGTGAATAGCTCTGGCTTCTTATACCCATCAAGATTCCCAGAACAAGATACCCTTCTCCTGCCCATCACTTCCTGTTGCTGGGCAGCTCCTGAACAAAACATGGCAGTCATGAAGCCAAGACGGGAGCCAACCCATCCCCACTGTCCTATGTGAAGGAATGCTGAGCCTCACCCCATGCTGGTTCTCTCAGTACAAGGTGTCAGCTGGATAGCCTGAGTCTGGTCTTTGGAGATGTACGACCCAAGGAGGGGAGTTAGCAGACCCTTCCTGTGTCTGTATAAAGACCGTCTTTGGAGGAAGAACCAAAGACGTCCTGTGACGCCGTCCAGCCAGGAGATTTTCCTCCTTGGGAGATTTCTACTCCCCTGACCCTCTTCTAGCTGATTGATCTCTGGCCCAAGTGCAGTGCCTAGGGAGGGAGGGAGTTTTTTCCTCCACTGGAGGGGATCCTCCACAGTATACCATCCAGGTCCAAAGCATGTGTTCCCCTGAGCCGCCTGCTGGTTTTCTGGGGAGACCCGAGTTTAAACAACAAAAACATGTGATCCAAGTGGTTTATTTCATTCAGTCAGCCATTTATTTGCTCATTTTTCATCCATCCATCACATATTTTTGAGTGCCTGCCATATTAGATTCTAGGAATAAACAAAATGAGGCACCTTCCCTATGGAGCCTTCCTTTTTTATTTTTTATTTATTTTTTTTTTTTAATTTTTTTTTTCAACGTTTATTTATTTTTGGGACAGAGAGAGACAGAGCATGAACGGGGGAGGGGCAGAGAGAGAGGGAGACACAGAATCGGAAACAGGCTCCAGGCTCTGAGCCATCAGCCCAGAGCCCGATGCGGGGCTCGAACCCACGGGCCGCGAGATCGTGACCTGGCTGAAGTCGGACGCTTAACCGACTGCGCCACCCAGGCGCCCCTGGAGCCTTCCTTTTTTAATAGAGGGTACAGATGAGTGGCTTTTGGAAAGAACACAATGAATACGAAGTGACAAGTGCTATATAATAGGGGGCCACAAATGGTGTTCAGGAGTACAGACGAGGGAAGTCACACTTGGCAAAAATCGTGAGAGGGCAGATTCAAAGCATGTTCTAGACAGAAGCTAATCTGTGTAGAAGTCACAGAGCACGACACATGATGGGACCTAGGAGATGACCAGTACTTGCTGGAACACAGAGGGGGGGTGATGAGAGGGGAGGTTGGAGAGGGGACTCCATTAGGGAGGATTTCACTGTCGGGCATCTGTGAGCTAGTGAGTTGACTGGGGCCTGGCATATTTGTATCCACACTTTAGAAAATGACACCTCTGGTGATGGGTGAAGAATGAGTCAGAGGGGTAAGAGTAGAAGTGGGGAGGGACACCCGGCTGCCTCATTTGGTAGAGCATGCGACTCTTGACCTCGGGGTTATAAGTTCGAGCCCCACGTTGGGTGTAGAGATTACTCAAAACCAAAATCTTAAAAACAAAGAAAAAAAAAGAGTGGAGGTGGGGAGACCACTCAGGAAGCTGCTGTGGTCGCTGCCATGAAATGATGGTGACCGAAACCAAGGCGGAAGCAGCGGGAAGGAAGTAGATGGGGTCCAGAAACATGTGAGGTTGGGGGCTGCTGCTGGGCCCAGCATCCAGGACAGAAACTGCTGAAATCTGAATCAGAATCCTTTAGCCCGCCCCACATCCTGGCACAGGGGAGGGTCCTCATCCCCCGGGTCTTCAGAAGCATAACCTTGTCTCCCAGGAGCAAGCCTTGGAGCCCTGCTCCTGTGCCCGACAGCCTCAGTCAGGACAGATGGGAGCTGGTGACAGTGTACAGGTGAGAGAAGAATCCTGGGGGACCTGCCTCCAGCCATCCTCTTTGACTTGGCCCCCATGGCAGAACAGCAAACTGGACCAAGTTTTAAGATCCCATGTTCTGGAAACTGTGGCAGTCTTAAAGCACTGTATCTCATTCTTTTTTTGTTTGTTTGTTTCAAGTATAGTTAACATACAGTGTTACATTAGTTTCAGATGCACAATATAATGACAACAGTTCTACACATGACTCGGTGCTCATCTCGATAGGTGTACTCTTATCCCCTTTATCTATTTCATTCACCCCCCACCCACCTTCCGTAGCCATCCTTGCTTTTCTCTCTCAGGAGGAGGGGAAAAGGGTTTATCTCTTAAGGACTCCTCCCAGGCCCCTTGGGCAACCATTTTTAATCCTTCCCCTTGCAGGCCTTAGAATGATTTCTTGTGCTTGAGGATGTGAACATTGGGCGGTCATAATGTCGCTCATTCTACCAACCCCCTGGAAGCCCCTTCTTCTGGGTCATAGTCTCAGCACTGCCATTATCTCTAAAGGGACAACATCAGGGCCACCATACCTTTGTGCACAAAATATCTGCAGAAATTCATTTTAAAAAAAAGTCCCAATGAGCAACCAGCTTCCACCTGTCTAACCCCTAACCCTCAGTGCAGCTGCCTTCACTCTGCCCCTGGATCAGAGGACATCAGTGTGATCTTTTTTCTGTGCCCTACCCCAGACCCACTCAAACCCAGTCCCATACAAAACATAGGGTTCCTAGAAGCTCTGAGATTCGTGTGTTTCTCACTGGCCTAGTGCATGGCATCTTCTAGGTGCTGGGCCAGTGGGACAGTGTTTGTTTCCAGGATTATTCCAAGCGGAGTTGCCCTTCCTTCTAGAACAGTGGTTCTCAACCGGGGGTGGTTTTGTCCTCCAGGGGACAGTTGGCAATGTCTAGAGACATTTTCGATTGGAGGCAGGAGTGGGTTCTACTGGCATCTAGTGGATAGAGGCCAGGGATGCTGCGAAACGTCCTGCAATAATACCCAAGGCAGTTCCCCACACAGAGAATTGTGGGTCCCACATGTCCATCAAGGTTGAGAAATCCTATTCTAGAACACTGGTCTGTGACCAACAGGACCCTGGAGTCCTTCAGGCCCTGGAGGATTGCTAGAACAGACCACAAGTTCAAGAAAAACTCACTTGGCATTGTATTTCTTTCCACAGCTGAACTCTGTCCGAGAGGCCCAGTTAGAGCTGCTGGAGGCAGCAAGACCCCGTGGGCCGGGGAGCAGGGAGCGGGGCCCAGTACTGAGGATGGCCAGGCAGCAGCAGCCGCCGCCCTGGGTCCACGCAGCCTTCCTGCTCTGCCTCCTCAGCCTCAGCGGGGCCATCGAGATTCCTATGGATCGTGAGTCCTGCCCCATCCTCTTTGATTCTCCTGATTTGGGGCAGAGGAGTTGGGAGGGGATGGGAGGTTGGCGGGGAGTGAAGACCAACTTTGGAAGAGGTTGGGGAGAGGGGAAGTGATTCTGGATGCAGAGCTGGGTTTCCCTGCAAAGAATTGACGGAAGCAGATCTGTGTTTGGGAATGTGAGACGAATTGCGCGGCACGATCTCTGAGGACTGTGGCTGAGCTGATGTTGGGGCTGCCTGGAGCCTGCCGAGCAGGACTGGAGGTGGCAGATTTGAAAGTCAGTGTGTCACTCAGGAGTTCTTCCCTCCACTCTCCTGCCTCCGATCTCTGCAGTCTTGACTTGCCCGTCAAAGTGGAGTTTCCAAGGACCAAGTGCAATGGATAGTTCTCATTTGCCTTCCTAATATCTGAGCTGGATCCTAGGCCCTCGTGGCTGGACTAATCAGGAGGGACGGCCTGGGGAGGGTTGGGAAGGGAATTATTTCGCAGAAGGCTGGGGCTAAATGAAACATTAAAATAGAGCTCCATTTTAATGCCAGGGTCCAAAACCCAGGTGCTGATTCCTTCTGTTTGTTTTTGCCTCTCCCGTGGCGAAGTTGGAAAGTAAAATCTGTATCATTCTGTTTCCCATGGTGGGGGCATGATTTGGCCATCAGAATCATAAAAGAAGGGGTTTGGGATGCTGACAGCCATGTCTCTTGCAGCCATATCTGTTGCTACGTTCGTAAGTGGCTCATTGACTGGCAGCCATGCTCCATGGCCCTGCATTTAGCTGCGTACCCCCTTTGCCACAATTCTGACACCTCCACCAGAATGTCTTGGCATTCCAGTGCCCTGATGTGGGCATACCACCTCTGTCCCCTGTGCCCTGCTTCCAGAAATAGATGGGATCCACATGATGCCGATGCTGACTTGGGCTCTGTCCAGGTGACAGATGTCCGGGGAGGGCTGGGAGAGGGATACAGCCTCCAAGAAGTGCCCACTGAGCTCTCCAAAGCCAGACCCTGGGGCCGGGAGTCAGCATAGCTTGGAGAAGAATTACACATACTTCAGCGCCCCCCGCCCCACTCAACCCTACAAATAATAACTGCCCAGAGGAGTGGCCACTTCTGGGTAAGAGAAGGCCAGCAGAAAGTATACGAAAGAAGACAGGCAAGGCCCTGTTGCCTTCCCAATAGCCCCAAGTGCATGTATGTGTGTGTGCATGCGCGTGTGTGTGTGCGTGTGTGTGTGCTCACTGAAGGGGGGGGGGGGTCATGAAATGAACTGTTCCCGTGGAGACTATCTCCACTGATAGCTCAAGGAAGAGTCTCTCATTAACAATCCCAGGCAGACAGTCTAATAAGGAGCACGATAAGGCTAAGTCCCTGGAGAGCAGAGGGATACAGAGGAAATTGGGTTATCAAAGAAGTGGTGAAGGCTCATTCCTCTTCTGCTGCTTCTCCTCACTCATTCACTTGCCACTTTGATCCCTGGGGCTAGTGGGTGAGGGGTTCCTTCAAGAAGAACTTATAAATAGATGGCTTTGACATCTTTGTTAGGAGTCTGATTTCTAAAGCTCTACCGGAGCCATGGGCGGGTGAGCTAGCAGTCAGTCTCTCCAGAGTACCGCGTGTGGGGCAAAGAGCCACAAGTGCCCTGACCTCCCCCACCACCATCTCCCCACCTCAGTGTCCGTGAGGAGGGCCTAGAGTGTCCCCTACTTCCGGAAATGCATTGAAGGAAACATAGACCTTTCCTTGCTCTGGGTCACACGGCAAATGGGTGATGGATTCATGAATAGATCCCAGGTCTCTTTAAGATGTACAACTTGATGACCAGGTTGGCACTCGATATGCCCCACCCCTCCCTCTGCTAATCCCACCTTCTTTTAGTTCTTGGAACTCACCAGAGTAGCAGCTGCCACATGTCTGGCTGAAAGCTAAGTGCTTTAGAAGCATCTCCTCTGAGTCTCATCTTTCGCTGACAGGTTAGAAAACCGAGGTGCAGAGAAATAAAGCCGTTCTCTCCAGCTCATAAGTGGCAGGGCCAGCACATGACTACAGCACCTCTCTGAATGAGGGGGTGAGGTCTTTTGTGACACCAGGCCTCGTGCCCCGGGCTGCCGCACAACAGGAAACTCATGATGCCTGCCCGAAGCATGCCTCCTATGCACTATACCTCCCTGCCGGCTGCGGGCTCAGTGGCCCTGGTGACATGTCCAGAATCAGCCTACAGAAGATGAATGCAAGACAAGAGAAGGCCAGCCCTTCAGAGGGGACCCAGTTGCCCAGGGAAGAGGTCCTCTTCAGCCAGGTTTTCCCCTCTTGCTGGGCCCAGCATAACAGGTGCCCCCCAAGTTACCTGAGCCCACCCTTCCTTCTTAACCCTAGGCCGTGGCCTGGTGGGAGGGGCTGGGGAAAGACCATACGTTCTTACTCCTCTCCCCCCAGAGTCATTGAGGTATTTATTGACATACAACATACGTAAGTTTAAGGTGTACAACTTGATGATTCGCTACACGTATATATTACGCAATGATGACCCCATGGGTTAGTTTACATGTCCATAATTACCTTTCGTGTGTATGGAGTGGCAACTTTGAAGATCTGCTCTCTCAACAACTCTCAGGTGTATGATATAGTTCTGTTAAACTACAGTTGCAGGCCGTACGTTAGGTCCCCAGAACATACCCATCTTAGAGCTGGAACTTTGTATGCCTTGACCAGCATCTCCCCACTTTCCCGCCCCCCTCCCAGCCCTTGGCAACCACCATTCTACTTTGTTTCTTTGAGTGTGAAGTTTTTAGATTCTGCATAGAGTGAGAACATACCGGATCTGTCTTTCTCTGACTTAATTTCACTCAGCGTAAGGTCCTCAGGGCCTATCCGTGTTGTCACAAAAGGTAAGAGAGAGATGCCTACACCCCACGTTCACTGCAGCGTTATTCATAAGAGCCCAGATGTGGGAGAAGTGAAGGCCAGGCACTCTTCTGGGAGAGGCTGCGGGGGCTCTGGCTAGAGGCTGCCCCGTCAGGGGTGCCCTTCCGCTCTCTTGCCCCTTCAGGGGGCATTATCTGTGCCTTGAGGACCGGGGCACTGCTTCTGCTCTGGGGAGTTTGGGCCCAGCAGGCTTCCTGGAATAGCCCCCGGCGGCTACACAATCCCTCATTGAAGCCCCGGCCT